TCCTAGCTTGGTAATCACAGTAGCCGATACAGACTCTAACGTGAAGAAAGCTCTGAAGATGGCTACTGAAGCTAACACAAATAGTTCAACACTCGTTCTTCTTCCAAAGTCATCGGTGTCAAAGGTTCTTTGGATGGCTGATATTCGTTCAACAGCATTGCCAAGTAAGAATTTAATGTATTTTACACTAAATACTTCCCTTCTGTTTTGTGTAGATTTCTGAACAACGCGTTTTTGTTACTTCAGATTGGAACCGTATGAAGATTTATGTGAATATCATCACACAAACCAGAGCTAATTCACTTGCAAGGCTTCTCAAGTCTCTAAGTGATGCATACTACATTGGTGAAGAAGTTCCTATAACTTTCAACATGGATAGCAAGGTGGATGAGGCAACTCTAAAGCTTGTCAACTCATTCAATTGGCCTCATGGACCCAAAATTCTTCGAAGGAGAATCATTCAAGGAGGCCTAATTCGAGCAGTTAGTGAGAGTTGGTACCCCTCATCGGACGATGATTTTGGTCTCTTACTTGAAGATGACATTGAAGTCTCCCCATACTATTACCTTTGGATCAAATATGCTCTCTTATCCTACCACTATGACCCTGAAATATCCCTCCCTGAGCTCTCCTCGATCTCTCTTTACACTCCACGGTTAGTGGAAGTTGTAAAAGAAAGGCCTAAATGGAATGCAACAGATTTCTTCAAACACATCCATCCAAACACACCTTATCTCCATCAGTTACCTTGCAGTTGGGGTGCAGTTTTTTTCCCAAAGCAATGGAGGGAATTCTACGTTTACATGAACATGAGATTCACAGAAGACGCGAAGCAGAACCCCGTTCAAATACCAAGATCAAGAACCAATGGTTGGCAAGCATCTTGGAAGAAGTTCTTGATAGACATGATGTACTTAAGAGGGTACGTTACACTTTATCCGAATTTCCCAAATCAAACAAGCTTTTCGACTAATCATATGGAACCAGGAGCACATATTGCAGCTAAAGAAAATGTGATCAAACATAACAAGGCTGATTTTGAGGTGCCATTGCTAAAACAAGACTTTAAAAACTTTCTGCCTAATGGGAAAATGCCTGCAGCTACAAGATTGCCTTCATTAAACCTCTTTAATCAGCCTGTTTCTCTAAAAGGCTTAAAGGCAGCTGGTGCAAAACTGGGACAGGATATTCTTAAATGCAATCAAACGGAGATAGTAACTGTTAACCATGAGACAGGTGTACCTTCACATTGTACAAGATTCTAAAAAATTCATAATTTTTTTTTTCTTTCATTGATAAAAGGTTTATTTGATTAGTTTTTTCCTTATTGTTACACATTTAAGGAAGGACTAAGAGTTGTATAGAGTGGCTATCTGTAGACTGTATGTATCCTTCTCTTCTTATTTTCACTCTTCCTTGACCCTCTGAATTCAACTTGAAAAGCAACGAACGATATATCCAGTGATATCTCACAAGTGAGGTCTAGGGAGGACAGACGGTACGCAGACCTTATCACTACTTCATGAAGGTAAATAGGTTGTTTTCGAAAGATTCTCAATTCAAGTGCAACAAATATCGATATAAAGAAGAAGACAATGAAGAGAATCGAAATAAGAAATCGTGCAAAAATAGCCAAAGCAGCAATAAAATCATGTGATAAAAAAGCAATGCCGGAATTTATGAGACTCTCAACTTAGTAACAAAAAAGTCATAATGGCCAGAAATTCGAATTGATTACTCATATGATCATATACTGATAGTTATTATCTCAAAAACTTATTTTTTTTCTTCTGAATTTCAATTTTCTTCGATAAAGAAGGTAATTTTCTGATAAAATAGTAGACATTTGTTCAGTTGGCATGTCCAAGAATCACTCCATGCAACTGTCACACACATTTTAACTCATTTTTTAATCTAATAAATACCTCCCCCAATTGAATAAAAAAGACCCGACCAACAAACTAAACAGCTTGTTTTATTCGACTTGTTATATTATATTAAAATGAAAATAGTAAGCAAGGATAATAAATCAAGTGCTAGACAATAAACAGATCGTATGAGGTTATATGTTATTATTACTATAAATAGTTGATCCATAATACTTGTTATTTCATTAAAATAAAATATAAATTACAATATTTTTACAATTATACCTTTGATAGTTCTAATAAGTAATTAATGCTCAGTGTAATTACTATACATTGATTAATTACTCTCACAATTGCATTACTCTATAAAATCTGATTTTGAAAAAGAAATCTCAACAAAAAAATTAAAAATAAAAGATGAATTTATTTGGAGTATCATTTATTGAAAAGTTGACTTTAAAAAGAAATTAAATAAGGGTAGAATGGTAAACTTACTTAAGACACGGTCATGAATGAATGTTATACTAAACTATCCGCCATTTCATTAGGACAACACTTAATCTTTTTCTAACTTGATTTTGAAGCATGGTTTAAAAGGAACGGAGGAAGTATTAAGTATTTTTTTTGTTTTCCCATCCGGTGTTCGAAGTTCACATTGGAGCTTTGACTAAATCTGAATCGGGCACTGCAGGATCCATTCGGAAGTGGCGCTCCCAACAGGATTTTCTTCACACCTAAGACTAGAACCCGAGACCTCTGACTAAGGGTGAAGCAATATAACACAACAAATATGAATAAGAAACAAAAAAGAGAATATGGAAGACTTCACGAAATACTACGGTAATTTTTGTAGGATCAAGAGTGGCATGGTTTAGCTTATTTAATCCCTATATGTTGATTGTTGCGTGAGTTCTTGAAATATTGATTTCAATCAATTTATGCTAACAATATTGGACAGGTAGTGGTTGTGCACTCTACTTAACCTTTCAACTTTATGTTTACGCTTAATACATAAGCAACTTCTAAAATTTGTTAGAAAGTTTTATTTGATTATTTAAAATATGATTTATTTCAATTAAACACATGATAAAAGTAAGATTTTGTGTCATGGAATTCATGAGAGGAATGAGTTTCCTGGTATGCACTTAAGGCAAAGATATCAATTATGTCATGTTTTTGTTAAACACTTTTGGTTAAGATTTTGAAAAAAAATAATTGCCCGGATTTTTAAGTGCCTATTACCTAAATAAATTAATTACTTAAAATTTATCACTTTTCTTTAAAAAATAAAAATTATACACATTAACCCTAAGTAAGATGTAAAACTTAATGCATGTTCTGATTGAGGCTGAATGGCTGATGTGCATATAATTTAACATAATTGACTTAATTTCCTAATAGATATTTGAAAATACACTCAAAACTTTTTCCAAAATTTGAATATCCATTAGGACAATACTACTATATTATGTATTCAAGTGAATAAATACAAATAAATCATAATTCAAATCTCTAAATACGATTTGCCTACACATTTAAAAACTATTTATATATTAAGCCTTGTGTTTATATCAAGACACCTTGCATTGGGAACATATTTTACTAACACACCTTGCATTGGGAACATATTTACTAACAACAAATGTAAGACAAATCATTTAAAAAGATCACAAAGTTAAAAGTTTATGAAGCAATTATGTTTTCATCTATATCGAGCACTTAATTTATCCATAATTCGTTTTCTTTCTTTTGTACTATATAGTATATATATATTTTTTTCAAATCATAGGATGAATGACTATAAAGTGATGGATCACAGGCTGTTTTAAGAAAGCAGACATGCAACTTTTGTGGCCACCACGTGGGGACATTATCATCAAACTTTACACATGTTGGTGTTACACAATACCACATCAAAAGAGAACCCATATTTTAATAATTAAAATAACTATATTTTTTTGAATTCGAAATTTAAAAGCTTATATTCACTTTATCAAAGTTTTCAATCTAATCAAGAAAAAAAGAAGAGGAAAATTCAAATTCAACAGTGAAAATACAGTTAATCATATTGTATCTCAAATTCGTCATGAGATTTATATGGAGCAACGTCTTGATATATATATATATATATATCAATTGTTGGTAACCCATCAGTTATATATGTAGGCAGTGTGTCTCCATTCTTTAACTGAAAAATTCAAGTATATTATTATAGAAATCTTCCATAGCAATTAAAGACTATTTACCCGCTCTCTTGTTTGGATAGTTATTACTTATTGTTTCAGCATAATAACATAATACATAAACATGACCCTTAACTTAGCTTCAGCGAATAATTATGCCCTCCAACTTTGAGTATGCACAAGTAGACACTTAAACTTGTATAAAATTGAATAAGTAGACACACGTGTCCTACATAACATGATACATGTAGGACGCCATGTAGGTCGACACAAAATTTTCATGTAGGGTGTCATATAGGACGGATGTGTTTATTTATTCAACTTTACAAATTTAAGTGCATACTTGTGCACATCAAAAGTTAAAGGTCATAGTTGCCAGCTGACGCCAAATTAAGGGTCATGTTTATGTATTATGCCTATATTATATTATGTTATATTATAGTATAATGTTGTATTAATTATAATATAACATTCGAATGTACTATATTATTCTTTCTCATTATATAATGTCACACGTTAATAATTTGAATAATAATAAGTCATTAAGGTTTGAAGTAGAGCTACTATTAAAAGTAGGATAAAGGATAAAAAAAGTTTATTAAATAATAAATTAAAAATATTAAGATAATAACGCAATTACACTAAACTGATTCAAATAAGACTTTATGTCTTTAGTAACGGTGGACCTAAATCATGCGGTACAATAAAATTTAAGTAACAGTTAAATAAACACTATATCTGAATTAACAATATAAACCATCCAAACAAGGAACAAGTCTCTATTCTTTGAAAAATGATTTCTTACCATTTTAGGATAATTAAAATGAACTTTTTGATTAATAAATGATGTTCATCAATAATATAAATATATGTGGATTAAATTTGTAAAATTTTAATTATATATAGTATGGGAAGGGACAATATGGTACGGAGTGATTACACAAATCTTCTTTCTGGCCTCTGGGGAACAATACTTTTCAATATTTGACATTTCGTCCCACAATATAACCAAACATTGAAATTCGATACCCATCTCTCACCAAGGAAATCTCTCTCTATTTTCGCTCGGGAAAACCTGTAAGACTCTCAAAACCCACTTTTTCTTCATCTGTTCATCAATTGTGATCTTTTACATGCTGCGTTTTGCAGTGAAACGCACTTAATTTGGTTGAATTTTAGGGCTTTATATTCGGGATTTGATCTCTTGTTATAGTTCCTTTTTTTGACAAAATGAACTACAGTTTAATAGTTTTCTGCAAAATTTTGGGTTTTGATTTGGGTATTGAGTTTTCACATTGATTCCAAGCAGCATTTTTGATGTTCTACTCGCGAGTTTAAAATATTGTTGATTAATTAAAGGTATTAGGGTTTTTTTTATAGCCCAGATCAATAGTTCAAGTAAGATTTGTGTACCCATTTGCTCAGAAATTAGTAAGATTCATAAGTTGAAGTTATAACAGTTTCTTAAACTGAAATACAAGTTAAACAACTGTTAAATTGGTCTTTCTTTTTCAGTAAATTTTTGACTTTCTGTAATTCTGCAGTTGATAATAAACTTTCACAGTTGAAATTGCGGACAGTTTATCAAAACTTTTGTGGGATAAAATTTTAGTATAGTATGTAGGTATGGATTGTATATACCGCCCCCGAGTAATATAGTTTTATTCTTTCAGCATGTCAAGTTTGCTCTTTTGAAAGTGGATGATGCTATATTCATTTCTGGGGTTGCTCAAGGAATTGGTTTCTGCCTAGTGCATGACCTTTGAGTTGAGCAACTATTATCACAATGGTAACCTCTCACCGCAGGTTTGTAGACCAAAAGACGTGCCGTTGTAATAAATTTTACCAAGTTTTAGTTGCCCTATCTCTTGGTTTTATTTACATTATTAGCTTACAAAATACCCTCTTTGTTATTTAAGGTTCACTGGGGTTTTCAAAAGATCAAATGACAGTGTCAGGCTAATAATAACAACAATCATGGGAATGGTATTTGGATATTTCATTGGCATTTCGTTTCCATCTGTTTCTCTAGCAAAGGTACGTCGGCCCTACTTTTGAATGGTCTCCCTGGTGGAGAGTAATATGCCCCTGTCATTCAGTATAATCTTGGGGGTCCTTTGCAGATTTCTTTTCCTTCGAGCATTATATCGTCTCTTGATGTAGCCTTCAATGATGATCATCAAAGACTTAGTGGACGTAGTTTTCCTGAAAATCTTGGCAGTATCCCTTTAACACCTAAGGTACTTATTATTCACTTCAAGTCCTTTAAATTATGTATTATTCCCTGCAGCTTCACTATGTTGATTCACTTGTATGCTTATGAAAAAGGTGTTAAAAGAAGCTTTTAACACATTTTAACTACTAATGGTGTCAGTTTGACCAGCAAAACAATCTTTCCTTATGGATAGATTCATCTGCATTTTTGTTGCATTTAGTGGTTGCCAAGTAAAATATTTGGTGAAACCAACAAAGTGCAAATACCAATTAAGAAAGTCTCTCATTTTTTTATTCACAAGATGAGTCACACATATTGAGACTCATTTTAGAGGAAAATAAGTTACATAGGTGATACCAATTAATCGAAAATATAATTTAGTGATGTTAATACGTTTATTTTAGGTCCCATACTTTCTAGAAGTCTTATAGTCCTACTAGATTCTTATGCCAGTAAGAAATATGGAGAAATTCTACTTCTGATTTTATTTATTATATTGTTGGCATGAGATGAACTTAAATGGGGAGTGGGGCCCTTGTACCTTTTTCTTTCTCGCCTTGTCCCATTCCGTGCCCTTATTTTCTGATACACTTCAATGAAAAATGCACTTGCTAATGCTCAAAGAACATTAGGGACTTTGTTTTTTATCATTAGTTGCTTGATGGTCAAGATGGATAAAACTTACTGTATGCAATTATATGCAACACAATTTGCTTTTTGTGAACCAACTTAGGCAACTTTAGATTGGAGTTATGCTAGTGAACTCAATATGTACTAATAATATATGAAGATTCAGAAACTATACCGAAAATACTAACCAAATTAAAAACACAATACAAAAGAGCTATTGAACGCTACCTTTCAGATCATCGATTGTTTACAAAAGTGTTCAAGAAAATTGTCATCTATGTATCTTGACTGTCAAAGTTGATTTTTGTGTCATGTAAATTGAATTTTAAAAAGTAATATCATTGAAAATAATGTGCACTACTGATTAGTGGCACATTGTTACAATTGTATGCACTGCTAATCTGAAGTTGCCGAATCGGCTCTATTTATTGGTTTTGTTACGAGCTTAGCTAATTTAGTGATTCTTCCAACTTTACAAAAAAATGCAGACATAATTGCATGATATTTTCCATTTAGAAATGGTCTAAGATATATGTTCTAATTGCAGAGTAGATGTGGCATCCAGAGCATCGTGAAGTTCATATTCAATTACTGATGATGTTGATTTTGTGTCTTAGATATATGTTCCGACAAATCCTCGTGGTGCAGAGTCTTTACCACCAGGGATCGTGGTCGCCGAATCAGATTTCTATCTACGAAGGTTGTGGGGTGAGCCAAGTGAGGTATGATGCAAAGAGTAGCTTGTAGTCATTGAATTAGTCTTATTTGTCCAAAAAGAAAAGAATGTCTGGTCAGTGTAGGGTTTATGATACCTACAATTATTCTGCCAATCCTGAGCTGCTATTGATCATATAGTCACATGTCCATGTTATCAAACAAAATACAAAATATTTATAAAAATGGTTACATGTCCACTTCATCTGCTTCCGGCTCCGTATTATGTCACAGGGAAATGACCAGTTTTACATCTGATATACTTTAAAGTTTAATGTGGATGATTTAATAATGTGAATGATTTAAGAACTCTTCGTTAGAAGTTCAGTATGAATATCCTTTTCTGGAAAGCTGTTAACAGATAGGAGGACAACTCTCTAATTGCATAAAATATTAGTCTTTGTAAGATTTGGAGTCTTTTTTCCTGTTCTTTTTTTTTCTGTTTAGCCTTTTAAATGTGGTGGAATTTCAGGATCTGAGGAATAAGCCAAAGTATTTGGTGACATTTACAGTTGGTTTGGATCAAAAGAACAACATTGATGCCTGCGTTAAAAAGGTTACAAAAAGAACCTGATCCATTGGATGTGATATCATACATCATTATCATTTTCTTTTTATGTTGTATCCACACTGAATTTTTATGTATGTTGGTTAGTTTTCAGAGGATTTTCAAATTTTGCTTTTTCATTACGATGGTCGAACGAGTGAATGGGATCAGTTCGAATGGTCCAAGCGTGCAGTTCATATCAGTATTAGGAAGCAGACAAAATGGTAAGACTTTCTAGTTTATGCAACAACCTTTGGGATTCTAAATCCCATTAATGATGCAAGAATCAAAAGAATTATGCAAAGCGAAGCCTGGTATTTAAGTGGAGAAGGGTAGAGGGGCGGGCCCATTATCCACCGAGTTTAGAAGGCTGTGATAGGTCCAAAGGGCAGGTCACAGACGGATTTCTTGGTTATAAAAAAAAATAAAAAATAAAAAAAATCAAAAGAAATATGCCTGAGAATGTCAGATGAGATAGGACCTACAGATAGGTTTTCTTTTTTTGGGTTGCTGAGCCTACTCAGTTGTATGTAGCTCTGTGATATAAATTTTTGGGATCCCAGCCTTTGTGCTGAAGATTTATATACAAACTTGTTACCTTTGTCAAAAAAAAAATATGCCTGAGAACTTTTACCAATGCTGGCTGCCCTTTAGCATGTATAACACCCTTCTTTGAGTTTGTGATAATAAGATGAAGGGAAGGTGTTAAATAGGATTTTAGTCTAGTATTTTTTTTTTGTAGTTCCATAATCTTTTGTGGGTTTTTCTATCTCCTTTAACAGGTGGTATGCAAAGAGGTTTTTGCATCCTGATGTCGTAGCTGCCTATGATTATATATTTATCTGGGACGAAGATCTGGGGGTTGAACATTTCAATGCAGAGAAGTAGGTGTTTCTTTCTGGTTGTTTTTCAATAACTTCTCATTCTTAAGAGTGAAAGATTCCTCTCGTCACTTTTGTTTCCACCTAATCTAGGCACCTGAATATGACAGGTATATTCAGCTAGTTAAGAAACATGGACTAGAGATCTCTCAGCCAGGTCTTGAACCCAACAATGGTCTAACATGGCAGATGACAAAGAGGAGAGGTGATAGAGAAGTTCACAAGTAAGTCCCTCGTGTTGCTGTCTCCCTCTTTCTCTGACAGTCCCCATCTCTGGGGCCCAATAGTTAGGATTGAATATCTCTATAGATTAGCTCGTGTTCATGCATATTTAGAATTGTTGGTGGCCTTAAACAGGAGTACAGAGGAGAAACCAGGCTGGTGCAGTGATCAACGGTTACCTCCTTGTGCAGCGTACTCTCTCTCTCTCTCTCTCTCTCTCTCTCTCACACACACACACACACACACACACTCACACACACACACACACACACACACTCACACACACACACACACACACACACTCACACACACACACACACACACACACTCACACACACACACACACACACACACTCACACACACACACACACACACACACTCACACACACACACACACACACACACACAGATTTTAAAATGTGCAAGCTGGACACAATCTATACTTATCCATCCACCAACACATATATGTACATATTTAATGGACTTAGGCGCTGTTGATTGATAATTCAGACTGTAGAAATCATTCTTTTAATTTTCAGAAGCAAGAAAACAACTTTTTGTGTAGACAAGGAAGATGGGGGAAGTATTTGTATGTTATGAGTTGAAATGCATTCCAGTAAGGTATTGTTGTTTGCATTAGCAAGATGTTGAATTGACACCTTCTGTATGTCTGTGGAAGAATTCAAGGGTTTATGCTGTATCATGTATGTTTATATTTTTAGGCATGACTGCAGAAACTTGGGATATAGGCGCTAATTCAAGACTGTAGAAATCACTCTTTCAATTTTTAGAAGCAAGGAAATGACAATTTTGGTAGACAAAGGAAGATTGGAGAAATTTTTGTATGTTATGAGTAGAACTGCATGCCATTAATGTATTGTCGTTAACTTAGCAAGATGTTGAATTGACATCTTCTGTACATGTTTTCTTCCTAAAAACTTATGATTGAGCAAATAAACCTCTCGTAAATTAATACTCAGGCAATTTCTAGTCAGCAAGTATTATTTTGAGTTATCTATACACAACAATTTTTGGAAATTGATTTGTAGAAGGCCTGTACACAAGTGCACCACCTGGTACTTTTAACATTGGCCTGCAACTCATCTTTTTCCTTGTTTTTTCAGTTTTGTGGAAATAATGGCTCCTGTATTTTCTCGAGAAGCATGGCGATGTGTTTGGCATTTGATTCAGGTAGTTCTTTCAATTGGGATATGTATTCATTGTAATCCTTTCAAGAATGCATTTACAGTGGTCATGAGTGCATTAATAAATACACGTGCTATTATAGTGACAGCTCTGCTTTCGTTTGATGTTTTCTTATAGAATGATTTGGTGCATGGATGGGGATTGGATTTCGCTCTCAGAAGATGTGTAGAGGTCAGTAGTTTCCATTGGTGTATCTGTTAATATTAAAGTGAAAGAGGACTTGCACCATGATAAAGGTGGCTGCCCCTTTAGACTTTGATAACATTATGAACCTTGAAACCCATCCTCTTTAGCATTGTAGACGTTTTGTTAATTTGAAGTATGCTGGACCATTTAGCAAAACCTAGTTACTTTTTATTTGTTTATGCAGCCTGCGCATGAAAAAATTGGTGTAGTGGATTCACAATGGATAGTGCATCAAGTTATTCCTTCCCTTGGAAGTCAGGTTAGTAAATGTCCATTTCCAGAAAATAATAGCTGAAATTTTTACTACTATTCCATGTTAAATTTTGTTGTGGCAAGTGCCTATGTTAGTTTTAGAGTATATTGCAGAACGGACAAGAAACAGATAAAGAAGTTATATTTGTCGTTGGATTGTTCTGCATACCTCCCCACCCCCCAAAAAAATAAAAGAAAAAAAAGACCATTGCAGTTATGATTTTGCTGTTAAAGGTTTGATAGATCTAAGAACCTACCACTCTAGCTTGAAGAGTCCTCTGAAGGCGGCAGCTTCATAGGATGACTGAACTTAGTATCCTTTGTCTCTTTAGAGTTCTAGGTAGGAAGGAGATTATTGGCTTACTGAGAAACAAGAATGCCACTTTGTGACATGCTTTATGTCTCGTTAGAGCTAAAGCTGGTTTTGCTTCCCTATATGGTGGATATATATTCCAAGGCTGTTTTCTGTAACTATAACTCATTGCTCCCTTGTATTTCGTATGACTTGTTATCATTTCTTAAGTTTTTTCTTGATGCAATTTCTGTCACATGATAACATACAGGGTAGCTCGGAGAATGGTAAAGCCCCTTGGGAAGGGGTAAGCAAATCTAGTTTGACAAATATCATTCCCCATTTGTTTCGTCACATCTTAGTTACTTGTTTCCTTTTTGTAGGTAAGAGTGAGGTGCAGAAATGAGTGGACAATGTTTCAGGATCGATTAGCCAATGCGGATAAGGCATATTATGCACAAAATGGGAAAACCAGAGTATAACATGTGACCTACAACTTGTTTGTAAATTGCTTCTTTTACCCTTTTTTACTCCTGTTTTAGGTAAGCCTAATTCATTTTGCCAGTATTTCTTTATAAATATTTGCTTTACTATAGAGCAGCCATATTTCTGTAGACCGTGGACCGTAAACAGTAAGACATTGGAACACCTCCTGTGCATAGATGATACTACATGAAATCTTATATAGCCCATGATCGTTGTTTACCTTCATCCTTCTCTCTTTTTATTTTCATTTTTGGATTGCCAGCACAACCGGCGAATGCATAATTCTGGTTCACTGGAAAAAGAGGGAAATTCGGATTCCGATTCTGATTAAAATTAGTACATTAACACGAACTCACATGAATGAGAAGATTATATTATGGCTTTATTTTTTGTGCTAATTAAGCCTAGTTAGCAGTGCATAAATCAATTTATAGTATGGCTTTATTTTGTTTTAACCCAGCCGTTCCACTGACAAACATTGAAGGACCAGATCTATTGAATGAGTAAACCAAGACAAAATTTTATGAAAACGACAAAATATGATTGTTACAAGTAATTGATGACATTGGGAGTTTTTGGTTGACTTGTTATGCAATAAATAGTGATACTGGAATTGTTATATCAAAGTCATTATTAATATATATTGTTGAGATAAAGTATAAATAATACACCTAAACTATCCCTTTTTTTAGTTTCATTTTCTAACTATTAAGAGTGTGAGTTTCATATCTAAATTGTCACTTATTAGTTTGAGAAATACATCTCAATGTTGTATGTAATGCATTCTCTTTTATTTGAAAAAATCCGGACACATGACAATTCACATGAACCATACTACAATTATTTTTTGAAATGACAAGTATCTTGATATAACTATTATTGGCAAACATAACAAGTACAAATAGAATCGAAGGAAGTAATTTATGTTATAAAATCAAACTATATTACTAAATGGGAAGTTGAATTACTGTGTGGAGTTCTATATCAGAAAACAAAAATAGCATTGGTATGGTGTTTAATTACTTTGCCCAAAAATGTATAGTGTTTTTTATACTCCATTTCCTATTTTCCGTGTCACTCTTAGTGAGATAATTTGTAATCACACAAATGTCTATAAATTTTGCTGTAAAACAACTACGTGAATTCGGGATGTTTAGTGCATTGAGCTCTCATGTTAAACATTATACACATCTAGCTTGCATATTACTATATTGTTTAAAAAATGTTAGTAATATTTTCATCATCATGTCTCATAATGCTTCTCTGTTTTCACACAGCATTTTGGAGGGTTAAATTATGGTAGACTTTGAACACTATAATAAAATATTAAAAATATCTCCCCTCTTTAAATTTGTTTGTCCCGCTATTATGGGTGGTCACCTTGGAACCAAAATTTTCAACTGGAAAAGATTTGTCCCGATGTTTATTATTCTTGCGGATCTAGGCGACTTTAATTAAAAACAGTTGCATTAAATGATTTGTGTTGTAGTGTCAGTTTATGGATAGAAAAATTGTTATAAAACCCCATAATTAACTTGTTCTCATTTATTGTTCGTGATAATGTAATTTAAGTTTTGCCAACTCATTGTTTTTTTTTTCCTTTGTATGTTTTATTTATCTTGAAAGGCTTCCATACAGAGGAAAACCATTCTAATAGTAGAAGATTAGCATAAAAATTGAAATGCAGTGAAAAATAAAAGCATTCATAATATAGGATTATTAGATTTTAAATCAAATATATATTGTCAACATCATGATTTTGGTGGCGTAAATGTCATTGTCAGTAGGAGATTATACAGAAATGACTTAACTGTCAATTATTCGAAGTGATGCTTTTATGCGTTTTGTTTTTCATTTGACGTTCGGTATACTTTTTCATTTTGAAAAAAGAAGGCGAAGGGATTTTTCCTTGATTGCACGAGCAAGCCAGCAAACCCCCTTTTACTCACCTCAACACCTATAAAAAAAGCTCTTTCTCCTTTTCATTTCATAATAATAAGGTAAGCATCCAGCTCTCGATCCAGGACAAGGGCGGTCTTGCTTGGCGCGAAGGCTGCTGGTTCGGGGTAGAGTATAGTCTCCGATAGAAAGAATGATTGATTGCTTGAATGCCGGGCCATCTACTCGCGAAATCACCCCGGTCCGAACCCTCTCAGCTCCTTCCTTATTCGCATTGGAACTGGATTGAAAATTTAAATTCACGTTTTACTCTTTAATAAATGCGACTCTATATCTAGAGAAGTTCAAATTTGCTACCACTACTCCCATAACTAACCAATCATTCTATAACTCTTTATTTTTGGTCAAACAGGCTACAACTACTTGTTGCTTCCAATTTAATGTTTTTCCTTATCTTTTTAGTAAATAGAAAATGATTTGTTTCCATATAATATTAAATTGTTTCTGTGACTTTTATGTCCACGTTGAAGCACTTAAAATTTATAGAATATAATAATACTTTTGAAGCCACGTTAATCGATAGCAGATGAATGTACTCAATTCCTTCGTTTTAATTTATTTGTCTGATTTTAAATATCCGTTCTAAGATGTAGTATTAACTAACTTTGCAATCTTCCAAAATTCGTAAAATGACAAGAAGTTAATTAAAGGACAACAGAAATACCAAGCTACAAAGTTGTAATTTTCTAATTATTTTTTTTTTGGTCTTTTTTGTCTACAATATTTTGGAGGGACATGAGAGTTTGAATGTATATTTGATGCATTATCTTGAAAACATGTTATTTGGTTAGGGGATTAAATGTGATGGGTTTCCTACCTGTTTATAAATGGCCTATGTGGGGCATGGATAAATTAAAAAATGATCTTTTTTTCTTTTAATAGAAAAAATTATTAGTATATATTATTACTATGATATTTTATTTATTTTTGGATGTAGATAACAGAAGACAAAAAAAACACTATTCAAACAAGTCTAGAGGAGTTTCATTGAACAAATTAGTAAACCGATATACAAACGAGCAAAGGCAGTAGACCTAGCTTCGTATTATCACTTCATCATCTTCATACTCGTTTCGTCAGACTATTGATTAAATAGCATTCATTTAGCTAAAATAATTTAAAAACTCTATGATTAAGGCAGATTTAGCCCTTTGCTGTCGGATTTCTCTGAATATAGTATTTTTGGCGCAGTGCACAAGCTTATATATAAAACAATATTTACTGAGGTGGTAATAATATTATACATGAATCTATAATTTTAAAGACACAATGAGTTTAATGATAAGAATATTAAATGTTGAATTCATAAAGCTTAATTAAATCCTATATTTATCTCTCTGGTATGTTATCAATTTGAGTCAAGTCTGCACGTTTTATTTTATTTTTATTTTTAAATACATTATACCATTAAGAGTATCAATAGATAATTTATTTGCACATCCAAAACTAAATAAACCTATATATGTAATTGAGAATAAATTTCATACTGTGTTACTTGTGTAAAATTGTAAATTTACATGTACAGAAAAACAATAAAAAACAATAGGAAAAAGTTAAAGATTCTACGTTTATTAAAGCACTTGTATCATTGGATATTATCTTTACGTGAACTTATAAGTTTTTACTATTGAATTAACCTTTACACTTGTGACTTTATTCACTTAATTTACCACTTTGCATCTTTATTTTGATAATTAGTCCAAATAACTAAAGAGGAAAATGAAAGAGACTACCACCTAAACACGTCGTCAGTTTTAGACATTTTTACGTATATGGGTCCTAATTAATGTGTCTTTTTAAAAAAAAAAACAAAACTGAATTGAACTGATTCAACTAGACTAAAATTACGTATAAGTCCTTATTTAATGTGATTTTCTTTTTCTTTATTTTTCAATATTGGGGAAAAGATACAACTTGCTCCTTTTATCATATAAAAATAATCAATTTTATCCCTTATTATACTAGTCCAAAAATATTACTGCTTTATCTAAATGGTTCAAATTCAAATATAACCTTTTTTGTTTGGATTGTATAAAATGAACAACATATAATCTCAAGTATTAGCAATGACATTTTAATAAGGCGAACGCTACTTAACATATTGTTTCAACGTTCAATTCATTTTATCCTTCTTTCCACTTGATCTTCCATCGCTAACATAAATATCTCTAATTTGTGTGAACTTAATCAACATAAATAATACTACGAGGCAAAAGATAAAAGTATAGCTTTCCTTAACTTACATCAAAGATTTATCAAGTCTTAGATAAAAATAATCAATCCCACCTTTTGGATGTAATAAATAATCACATGATTGTGGTATACTTCTTCCTATATTAATTGAGTTTTTTTTTATTGTTCAAAATAATTAAATTGTACAAAGTTCAAGACGAATGTTTGATTTTTTTTCCATGTTTGTCTTTTCCTTTAATGAAGTTTTATATTTTCCAAGACATAAATCACAGTACTTACAAAATTATATTTATGATTTCACCAAGGGCAATAGTGAAAAATATAATCTAAGTTATGTCCTTAAATATTTTTCTTAATAAGTGTGCATTGCCTCACAAATTTACTTAATATGGAATTGAGGGTGTAGTATTTATCCTCTAATCTTTTCAATTAAATAAAAAAATTAACTTATAATCTTTCTTTTTTTTAAAAAGAAAAAAAGGGTAAAATAGTCATATAACTTTTCAAATAATTTCCGCTTCCAAACTTTTGTCTCTCTTACGCGCAAATTCAGTTGCCTTTATAACTTTTTTTTCGAGTATATTGTTTGAGAGAAAATACAGAGAAAGAGAGCGCCCATACCGGCACCGGCAAATCAATCATCATACAAAGACATAAAGACTAATGCATTGAATCTCTGATTCCCATTTAAGTTTTCTTCACTTCTTCACTGAACCGGAATTTAGGGATACAAACAATAAATTCTTGTATGTGGGTGTGTAAGTGTTGTTTGAACTTTGAAGAATTTTGTTATATAAGTCGGGGAAATTGAAGAGGAAGTGTTATCCTGGAGTAATTCTGAGTAGTGGGTGTTGGATAAATTTTGAAATGGGGGTTTCCCAGAACGATTCTTGTAGAATGGAAGGGTGGTTATATCTAATTCGGTCTAATCGGTTTGGGCTTCAGTATTCGAGGAAACGCTACTTTGTTCTTCACGATCTTCTTTTCAAGAGCTATAAATCAAACCCAGTTACAAACATTGAGGTTTATCATTCTCTCACTCGCTCTCTGTATGCTAATTGATAAACAATTTG